GTACAATAAAAAGAAATTCGATTTTTTGAAACTGATTTAAGATTCTCGACGCTTACAGACATACGCTTTTAAGCTCGACTTTTCCTCCCCTTTCAAATTCTTATAAGTCTTGCAAGGTAAATAGAAAGTTGAAATATGTGCATGAAAAATAGTGTTACAAGAAAAAAAAAAGGGAATAATTTCTAATGGAATCCACTGGCATCCTTTTTTTTGGAAAAATGTATAGCTGTTAACATCACTTCATCTCCTCGGAACTGAGTTTTCTTTCCAATGCACCCACTGTTATTAGCTTTAATAAATGCTCTTATGGCATTTTCAGTTATTCCTTTTGTTTCTTCATTTAATGATTTACAATACTCTAGGAATTTTGCGGATTCAAAGCCAGTGTTGTGCCACATACACATCCCTTGGGTCTAAAGTCATTCTCAAAAATATTGAGGATCTAGTTGTTAATGGTCTTTTTGGCAAGCGACCTTTCTACTTTCCAAGCTTTTAATAGGAAATCAAATGCGCTCCAATAAAAAAAATTTTTTTCGAAATTAGTACACACCTAATAAGTACAGTTTCTCTTGAATTTTGTCTTGCAATCGTAGAAATTAATACCTGTGAAATTCAGCAATTTCGAAATAAGTACATCCAAAAATGAGTAAGAATAAGGTATAAAATGTACCGCTTCTTCTGGACCTTCAATTGCTAACTGTGGCAATTTAAGCTGCAGATGCTCCTTTATGCTGTTGTCCATCATGCTTAGAGTATGCTTCCAACTTATTGTGTGCAGGTATGATGAGGCCCTCAACCTTACTAAACACATCTAAGTATACAATGTCAAGGGCAAGCGCTTCTAACTTCTAAAATTAAATATTTATTTATAAAAATGTTTTGATTAAATAATATCCCTTAGCGGTTATAATGTTCATTAGCGGGTTACCTGTGGTAAACCGGTCATAAAATASCTTGATTTATTTTCGTCCTGAATACTTCCCTACAAAATGGACAAGTTGCAAAGGGGTCTTCAGGACATTACCCAAGGGACCTTTGCAGGCTTCTGCTATAGGGTTCCAGTCTACAAGAAGGTATGCCAGAAAAAATAAGCTTATATTCCTGTAGAAGTAGGTCGTTAAAGGGCAACTTACCCCCCAAAATGACCCATTTTTAAGAGAAAGTACATCAAATGAGAAACACAAAAATT